TTAAAGCAACAGAGTTTGACGTGCAAATGATGGCTTTTGGTGCGTTTTCAGCCGTGTAGTTTGTGTAATTTGCTGCAAGACTAAAGTTTTCTCTCCAGATGTAAATGGTGTTGCGTCGGTGTTTACTCATGAGTATTGCAGTTTGAATGTTTTATCTTGATTACTTTGGTGGATGTGGCTTTCCGTGTGTTTAGACAATAGTCTTTATCGCCACATTTAAAAGAAAAGCCTGTGCAAATGAGCTGAAAGGCCGAGTGATTGAATTGTCTATATTCCAAAAGCTGATGAGAACAGCGTCTCGCAGGAGAAATAGTTTTCCGTGAATCTCTCCGTCCTCCAAACACTCTGCCCATACTGGTACAAAGAGATTCTTTGGCTGACGTGATTACAATCTATCCGTCTCTCCTTCGCTGAGACCTTGCGGTGACCCGCGCTTGTTAGCTTCCCTCTGAAGCCTCGGGCTATTAGCTGCTTTCCCCTCTTCTTTTTATGGGCGGAAGACAAAAAGGTAGGCCGTAGAAACACAGAGCAAGAGAGACGGAAAGATTACAGTCAGATTTACTGTGTCTTCGGCAGGAGCAGCAGGTTTTTGTGGCTGTTGCAGTACTTCATTCGTATTCCTTCCAGGATTATAAGGTGTCTTCCTGTTCTCACGAGACTCACCCTCTCCTTATGTTTTTGGGTCCTGTTGATTTTCACAGGAGTGCTTTCTCATCCCAGTGATTCCCCTGCAATATGTTGCCATATGGCTGAGTTTACAGCCTTGATTTATTCAAAGCCTCACCTTCCACTGCTCGGGCTGTTATTCATCCCTCGCTAATGAAAGGAGGGGAGAAATAAGACTTGCAAAGCTTTCGTTGTCGACACAGGTGTCGGAATAGAGAAAGGCCCCACAGGTGATGCTCAACGCTGAAATGTCTCATAATGAGCTTCCTCGGTGCACACGGAGGCGCAGGAAGAAGTAAAGGACTTGAGAGAGAGAGAGTGACGGATGGCGAGGAGTTTGGATACGGAAGAGGGAGGAATGAAGACGGAGATGTTGAAGGATCGGGTTGAGGCCGAGGGCAGAACAGGAAGCACGAGCAAGGAGTAGTCTGAGGCAGACAGAGATGTAAGGCAACAAATGAGACCAATAAAACACATGGGCAGGTTGCTTCGAGGAGTCACGGATCCTTGTTTTCTCGACAGAGGAACACAGGTCTGTCCTCAGTGATTATGTACGCTCGGTGCCTCTGTCTTTCCACTGCAATTTACCTCCACAACCTTTCCTTCCCTGGTTCCCGGTAACAGTGTTACCTTGAAATATTTATTCTGGGTTGTGTTTGTTTCAGTGGCTATAAACAGTCAGACACCCCTCCCCTCTCTCTCTCTCTCACCTCTCTCCGAGAGATAGAAAAGTCAAGATAGGAGTCGAGCTCAAACAAATCTATAAATAATTTCACGCCTGCAAAATTCAAATTGCATCATGTGTAGGCTCACGCAGCGGCAAGGTCAGGCCCTTTTGTTTCATTCGCTGCCCAGACAGCAGTGCAACAGACCTTAAAAACCCCCTTCGTTCAGCACCACAGACAGCTCCGCCTCATCGCTCTCTGACCGAGCTGCACATTGAGCAAGCAGACAAACTAATGGTACAAACCAATGGGAAGGAGAATGAGAGAATGTCTTGTACCAAAGCTGCCGGTAGCCATTATGATGTGCAGCAATGCCAAAGTATTCAGTATTTCTGTATACTTTGATCCTTACGAGTAGTGCTGAAACAATGAATACCAGCAGTTTGGATTCATTTTTTAATTCATTTATCTTTTTAATGTGAGACAAACATAACCGCCACATGACTGTGTTAGCAGCTGTTGTCTCGAGCACATACTGCAGGGTTTTCCACTTCCAACGAATTTCCATCACAATTTCCCAAAGGCGACAATCTCAAATGTCTCGCCTACAGTCCAAAACCCAAAGATAATGAATTTACAATGTTGTAAAACAGACTAATGCGGAAAAAAAACAAAACAACAATTCATATTTATGAAATGTCTGACTAAAACGATTCATCAAATATCAAGAGAGTTCAGAGTAATTTTCTGTTGCTCGAATAACAATCAAAAATACTATGGCTGGGCATTATATCGATATGAGATCTAGATATGAGACTAGATATCATCTTGGATTTTGTTTATTGAAATATCGCATAAGGCTTTAAAGTCTGCATTACCGGAAAGTGATGTCATTTTCTGAACTTTAAGTCGTTATATCCACATTACTGATGATTATTCTAACAAAAATATCATTGTGTTGATGTGAGAGCACCAATGGTCAACCCTACAATACTGCTGCAATATGGAGGTATTTGATTTTCTCCGTATCAGGCAGCCCTGACAAAAAACATGGTGAAGATGTGGTATCGATTGCTCCGTTGGACTGAACTCTTGAACCAATCTCATCCTGACAGTCTCAATCAAAGTGGGCTGAAGCTCTCCTCTGGTATCTGCAACGTCTGTCAGCTTTAGGACAGAATAGCGAGGATGCGGCTCAACTAAGAGCTGTTCATGAACCATATAGTAACGCTTTCTGTCACCCGCCAAGAAGATCTGGGATCAGGGATTTCTTAGATTGCTTGAGGTTTTTGGATGCCAATTATATTTAGCTGGATTGATGTGGGCTAATTAAAGGGTTGGTCTTTCACTCCAAGTAAACCTTCAGGTTAATAAGCAAAATCATAATTATCTCCTAAATCGGCTTCACAGTCAATCCCATCATGCACACACACACATTCACACACACACACTTGTACACTCATTCGGTCATGCAGCTCTGCGTAAAAAGTCTGCGTTTTAGGATGTATAAGTAGGCAGTATACAAACAGACCAAGGTTTAATCCTATTTCTCGTGAGAGCAGCCACTGGGAGGAGGAGGCAGGAGTTTGCCTGGAGCTTATTTTCACCCCACTGCAGCTCTCTACTCCCAGGGACTTGTTTGGTATTTGGAGGGAGACGGAGGCGAAGGGCAGGGCGGACGCATAAATTACTTAAGCAAATGTGTGTTGCTGAAAGGGACAAAATGATAGTGAGAACTTGGCTGCATGCAAAAAAATGCCGAATGTGTCAAAGTGGCTAGACCTAGCCGAGGCTGGGTTCGGTCTCTCAGGGGCACCTTGTTTACTAGTATATTGATCTAAGATGATGAAATGACCCTTTTGAGTACCTCACTGCATGCAGATACTTGCAGAAGGTTGTGTTATATCAAAGACACTATCGAAATAAAAACAGGCGTCAGCCTCCGGTTCTGAAAAGTGAGAGCTTTAAACTTGCATTCTCTGTAGTGTCCACCAGGGGGCGACTCCTCTGGTTGTATAGAAGTCTATGAGAAAATGACTACTTCTCTCTTGATTTATTCCCTCAGTAAACATTGTAAACATGAGTTTATGGTCTCAATCTCTAGTTCTAAGTCTTCTTCAATACAGCATGATGTTCATTTAGTAAATTATGGAACATTTAAGAGTAAAATAGGCAATAAAGCTAACGCTACCGGATCTATACACGGCAAAAAAACGCATGTTGTGATTCTGCTAGTCATGAAGCACTTCATCTTTTTCTCACTTCAAGCGATCCCTGTTCTTCAGAATACCATGCATTATCTGTTTTTGAGAACGTTTGTATAGCTCTCACCTCAGATAAGAATGCATTTGCTGCTTTTAATACTTCCACTCACTCAAAAGGTGTTATTCTTCTGCACCATTCTCTACCTGACTTCGTGGATATAGCCTCGTCTCCGCATCCGTACATTTCTTTCTTTTCTTTGCCTTTTGAGTGTTTTACTGTGGACCAGGTGCTTGCTTTGAAACCACTGGCTCGTCTCCCAGAAGCCACTCGGATAGTTCACGAAACACAAGGACCTTGCAGCACCCTTGGCAATGCACAGATAGCCATTTGAAAAATGCAGCATCACTGACCGGCCTGGTCATAAAACTGTTCACTTGATGGTATATATATTTTTTACACAAAAGGGTGAACAGCCGGCTATAAATCAAGACTCCCAGAACATCCAGCTTTTGTTGGACTTTTTGTCGGTATGCTTCTTCTTTTTCATTGCTTTTACGTGTTCAAGGACCCTCTCCTGCCTCGCAACAGGAATTTATTTTTGTAATCTTTTCCAGTGCACGGCAGCAAGGTCTCCAGCCTTGCCTCAGAAAATTGTCTCTCTCTGGGTGCACCTTGACATTAGTGAATGTGTCCTGCAGTACTGCAGCTTTTACATTTTAAATGTCTCGGGACAAGTTCTCGTCCACAATAGAAACGGGACAGAGTTTCCGCAGAGCTCAAATAGATATTGACTCTCTTTTATTATGTAGTACTACTTTTATGTTCCCTTTGTGCTCGGTCAGGGCTTTGAGCTGTACTTCAGTACCATCAATAATCATGAAGAAAGGAAGCTGTTCCTCTTTCATTGACAGAGCTCTCGGCTTTTTAGATTAGATTTCACTGCAGCGAAGAAAACATTGGTTTTGTTAATCATTGAATACCTACTAATAATACCCCTCATACTGTACGGTAATGTTCAGTACGAGAATATTCATGAATTCATATAAAGGATTATACTTTACTTTAACCCCCCTACTTAGCATTATTAGTAAATAAAGATTTAAGTTATAGTTTAAAACACATTATATGCTCGTTGTAAGCAGATATAAGGGCCTGTTTAAGTATATATCAACCCTTCTTTCTACGAATCATCTTTAACTGTTGTACTTTATAATAACACCAGAGCTGTAATTATACGTAGTGGTAACTTACCAACTGCTTATAAATGTGTTCAGCGCTCATAAAGACATGATTTAACCTGAACTTTAAGGTTCATTCTTCACTTCCAGAATTGTAGTTTGGCAAAATAATTCTTAACTCAATAAATAAATGAAGTGTTATCAGTAAGTCTTTATTCATGTAAAGTCCGCTGTAATGCAGGAATGACTGACAAGTGATTCGTCCGTGTGTTTGTGTTTTTTGCAGACATAAACATGGCTGGCGAGCCGAAGCCGTACAGGCCCAAAGCCGGCTCCAAGCGGCCGCTCTCAGCCGTTTACAGGTAAGAGTTGCCCTCCGAACACACTCCTTCACATGCAAAGGTGCAGCCTTTCTTCTTGTGAACCTTGACTTTCTAATTGAGTTTGTAATGCTCTCCACATTTCTCAGCCATGACTGGAGTTTGTTCTTGTGAAGCTCAAAGCAGATGCTGTTGTAGAAGCTTCATTAAGCATGACCCTGATGTTCTGGCCCGTACACATCTCCTGGTCACAAACAGATCAAAGCAGTGCTTGTTTACTGCGGTCTAATGTGACGGTGGGGCAGACATGATAATTCACTGGGACACTTTTGTGTGTACTCTGATAGTTTGTCACATAGCAAAGTATATATTCCCACCAATTAACTTCCTTCTGAGTTGTTCGTTTGTTGCATTGCATGTCTAATTTTACTAATTTATTAGTTTGTGCTTTGTGTTGGTGTTAACCCTCATTTGCATTGCATAGCCGCGGCTGGAAACAGCCAGGATGTGATATGGTAATTGTGGAGCAGGAGCAGCAGAGGCACGCTACACCACTCTAAATTGAAATAGAAATGGAATAACCTCAATTAGAATTTCTGCGAAAATATCAGCAATTTAAAACGACTTCTTCTTTTCTCCTCTTGTCTTTATTTTATCTCTCTGCCTAAATTATAAATGAGTTGTCATACTGAGCGTGCAGCCTACTTAACATTGATTTTCTTCTCCAAGGTCTAAGAAACAATTTGCCTTTCATTCTCCGACTGTATTTCCCCCTCTGAAACTTCTTTTGTTACGTGTGGTCTTTGCGTGCCAGCATGGCTTAGGCTGCCTCTTAACCTGCGGTGACTTTTAAGCAATAACTAGAGCGTGTCCCTTCGAGTCAAAACGGCTTCAGTTTGATCTGCTTGCTTTTGACAGATCCAAAATGGCTGCTCTTAATACAAACCCATCTCTTTCTTTAAATGTTTCTCCCTGTGTCTCCGTTTGTCTCTCTCACAGCGGTTATGAATTTGACTACGAGTACTACAGGGATGATTTCTACAACAGGTATGTATCATTTACGTTATGTTGTCACCTATGAGATTAAACCAGGAAACAGCTGATTGTTAGCTCCTGTAATCCCTCGTTACTGGTGCTAACTTTACAATAGCTTCTTGCGTTTTCGACAGAGATAGAGGAAAGCAGACTTCACATATCTAACCAGTAACTAATTTATGGTTGCTTAGCTTTGATTGGACGATGACCGTTTAGGGGAGGAGTTTAGCAGTCAATAGGTCTTCCCTCTATATTCTTGCCTCTTCCTTTATTAAAAGTCTCCCTTGTAAGCTGTAATTCACTGAACCTTCCCACAGAGGCTGCTTCAAATCGTCAACTTCAAAATGGCCGAATAGATCAAGCATGCAAATTGACTGAAGGAACACTTGTTTTCTGTGTCATGTATCCACCAGTGATCTGCTGCTTATCTGTGGAGACATTTTCTAAATGTCAAACTTGTTGAGGGCCGTGACAAACGACTACTGTGGCGAGCACAGTCAAAGCCGACACCTTCATCTGACATTTAGCACCCTCTTCCCTTCATCCTCTTCACTTCTAGAAGATGTGGCGATGGGGTTATTTGCATGCACTCGCACCGAAAAAGAGGGATAGTGGTGGATTTCAACTGTAACGTCTGCCTTTTGTTTGATGTGTGCCGTTTGAGGGAAAGAACCCAACAGAAATACATAAAAAAAATCTACCATGAAATACCATACTGGGAAGAGATGATAAGCTTTAGAAAGAGGTGCTGGTGAAGTAAACCGTTAAGCTCTAGATGGACTCTCTGAATGCTTCAGGGCCTCTTGTGAAAAACAGTCAAATACAAGTGTAAGAAGTGAAGTGTAATATTGTATGTATTTCTTTTTTTCTTGAGGCTTTTTGACTACCACGGCAGAGTGGCCCCCCCACCGAGAGCCGTGATCCCCGTCAAACGCTCCAGGGTGCTTGCTCCCTCCTCCCGCCGCGGGAAGACCTCCTTCCCCATCAAGACAACCTCCTCTTCCTCCTCTTCCTCCTCCAGACCTCCCACATCATCCGCCTCCGGGCTCAAACGTACGTACAAATAAGGTGCTTTTTTTTTTACTTGTCTTGTGTTTACACTCTACTGTTCAGATTTTACATTAATTCATTTTTCAAAAGAGCACCCTCTAATTACGCTAATGGCATTCTGTCCTCGTCAAAAATAACAAAAAAAGACACTGAAGGCTTAATGCAGATCTCAAATCCGTGTCTCGGCGGCATGATTCTGCTGTGCTACTTACGCCACGCCACTACAAAAAGCTATTTAATTAACTCCAGCAGCTCACAACAAGCCACACCGCAATGTAGAGCAAAACACTAAATCGTGAACACAAATATAATCCGAGCTTTTGCGAGCGGCACCCATTCAGCAAACGGTGCTATTCCTGTCACCCAGGATCCATCTGGATCTCATCCGCTCCTTTGATTAACCGTTGATGCATTATAGCGTCCTAAATGTAATTAACGTGAGATTGGGGGCCATCTCTGTGGAGCTGTGGTCAGCTGTGTTTACCTAAACGTTAGACTCTATCCGTAGCTCGTGTAATTGGCCACAGTGTTTATTCCATTGTTGCCTGTCTAGGCCCGGTGTTATCAGCGTGAGCAGCTTGGTAGCATCTGTGAGGAGGACCCAGTTGCAGCTGGTATTATATAGAGACGGGGATGGGGAGGAAAAAAAAGGCCCATCTCTTTTTTTTTGGACAGAGTCAATGAATTCTCTGCTCTGTCTAAGCAGTGCTGCTGTATTTTTGGGAGACTAATTTGCCCCTGCCAGTGCTGTGAGAAATCACAGTTTATATTGACTTTGGCCTAGATAGAGTGGGCGGGTTGGTGCCACTTGGGCTGTACGAGGAATAATTCACTTTAGGGAGAAGAAGAGAAACGGCCGTCACGTGCACGGATCACGTGCATGGATCACGAGGATGGATAGACGTGTGTTCTGCACATTAAACCCTCTTTGATGCTCAATGTCGATTGTCAGTTTATGAAGGCGTGATTTGACCCGTTTGTGTCTATTAAGGAAAGACTTGTTTTGCTGTACTTTGTAAAGTCACGGGCTGCATTGGGAATGGGACACAAATGTATTCAATTCTGTATTACTTAAGATCTTTTAAATTAGGTCATGATTGTTTTCCCCTCTGACAGTCTACTTTTCAGCGTTCACCATCACTAATCATCATCATAAATGGTGTTAAGTGATACTGAATTAGAGCTACAACAATAATCAATTAGCTGATAAATAGACAAAAAACTGACACTTAACTAACTGTTTGGGTTTTGGACAATTGATCGGAAAATTCAAGACATTTGAAAGCATCTCCAAGGGCACTAGGAACCTCTTTTGGACATTTTTTCACAATGTGATGGGCTCTTTCTCACCTTTTCTTCTGTTTTGTACGAAATCGTGTTTAAAAAAAAAAAGCAAGTTTTGCTGCAGTGACATGAGGATCTTAAGATAGTTTACATTGATAGAAACATGAGGCGTAATTATCCTTCCAGATGATTTAAAGTTTGTCAAAGTACCATCCTAAATCATGTAACAACCCCCCTACTCTTATTCAGATACTGATATGAAACACAAATACATAATGCACAGATGTCTTTTGAATATTGTGCATGTCATAAAGATGGTTTAAAAATCATGTTTCGCTGCAATATGTCTTCAAAATCGGCCTCACAGAATCCTCCTCATCTGTCCAAACCGGACGGACTATTTAGAGGCTGTGTTGTATCAGCACCACCAGCCCCAAAACTCTTTGTCCAGATTAATTATCCCAGATCACTGATTCAAGAGATCCGCACTATCTCTAAGATGAAAAACGTTGATCATGAGGTCCTAAAATTAGATCCATTACTCATTCGCTAAATCTTATCTAATGATGCCTGTTGAGTAGCAATGACATTTCCCCCCCTTTCCTTTAACACAAGCTATTTAAAGATGGCGCGTTGATGAGATGGCGCTGGATTAAGATGTGTATGTTGTCTCTCTGCAGCTTATGTGACTGATAGCACAAAAGGAAAAAAAACGCCTGGAGGCGCCGATAAATTAAAAACTGTTCCACACTTTCTTATCATCAAAGTAAGCTGCCCTGAGCGAGCTCGGATAATGTTGGAATAAGGAAGTGGGGGTACATGTGCGTGCATTGGTGGATGTCGGCTTGTGCGATACTGAGAAGGTGATAGAGACACTTCAGTGTCGCCCGCCACCGAGATATCATTGTGTATCAACTGTTTTCTCCTTTTTTTTTCATGTGCTTCCAGAAAGCTTGATTTTCTGTTTGCATGTAGCTTTGGGGTCGACGGCTGCTTTACAAAACAACACGAGGCTCATTCTTGTGATTTCCACGCACACACATTACCTATGTGTTGCCTTCGGCATGGCATTATATGCCTCCCTTTTCTCCCTCTCTCTCTCTCTCTCGCACACATTAATCATCCTTGATGCATTGGTTCAGCTCATACAAACGGACATGGGAGGGAATCTGCATCGGGATGTGGTGTGGGTGTAAATATATATCAAAGAAACCCAACTTAAAGAGCCGCATGTAGACATGATAGCAGACAAGCAATGTGTTGATTCTCTGCATGCCTCCTGCGTCCTGATTTTCCGGCTGCAGCTTTACAGGAACTCGTGGGTTTGTTTACCGAGCGCTCATCCGTCCTCTTCACCAGCCCCGACAGACTCTGATAGGTGTCAAAGAGAATTTTATGTTTTCCCCTCAACTTCTGGTGTTTTTTTCCCGTCCGCTCCAAAAAAAGACACGTTTCAGCTGCCGAGAGGTTTACGAATGAGATTAGATTACTACTTTAACGGTCTAAATTCTTTAATCTGCTCGGTTCAAGCTGCTAAGGAGCACACCCTGGTTTCAGCAGCCGTGAGACGGGCCAGATTGAATTAATGGTGACGTCCTACAGATCCATTTTTATTTTCACTATTCCATATTTGCATATGACACATAAAGGGTAAAACTCAAACTCTTGGCATGATGCAGTTACGCCTCATTTACCCAAAGCTCAGATATGTATTGTAGCGTGAGACCCAAAGCAACGCAGGAAGAGGAGAAGGATTATTCATACGGCAGTAAACAGAAGCAGTGGGAGGGCAAACTGTGCCCCCTGTTTCTCATGCTGCACCGTTAGTGAGGCAACGATCGGTTATTGTTGCAGTGAGTGTATGAAATTAAAAAAATGCAATTAAAACATATGATGTATGATTGTTTTTTAATCCAGTTTAGTGTCCTAAACACAAGTGTCGAGCATCAAAATTAGATTCAGTCTAAAAAGCGCTGCTTTGCATAATGTTACAATACATTGTTGTTTCCTTTTCTACAATAAAACCACCTTTTTGCAAGGCAAAACTAAAATATGTGGCTATTTCAAATAGCCAAATGTTCAGAGTTCCAGTCAGTTTACTGTGCTCCAAGTGTTACATTTGAATTTGCTGTTTGGATTTCAGTCATGATGAGTCCGTTTGGTAATGGTTTATTTTATGGGTTCCCATAATGGTTTACTAATGTCTTGGAAAGAAGCATGTCATTTGGTATATAACAGAGATCATATCCTGAGATAGTTGTAGTGAGTTCTTTTAAGGGTACTGGCAGTAAACAGTGAGGCTGAGATCAATGAGATTCAATGTTAACAGCAACGCTGGACTACATACAGCATCATTTCCTGTCAATCCCTCGTGCAAGTGAAGGCAATCCTCTATATAGAGAAGTAGTAACACAAAATGGAGACTATACTGTCAAATAAATAAATAAAATGAAAATCTTAAGGATTTTAACTTCAAGATGAAAGACATTTAACATAAGCACTAATAAAGCAGATGCTATCCTAAAGTGTAGACAATCTCCACACTTTTGTATTCGCCCAACGCTGACTGAAGGATAGCATACAGTTTGTTCAGATATTGGCATCTTTGAGCGAAACTTGAGCAGCGCTGCACACTAATCTTCAAATTGAAAGCAGCAGGTCCACATTTTCAGCAGCATAACTTCGCAGTCGGCCAGATTGAGATGTTCTTCCCCGAGGAAAGTGGGAATCGGAGTGATGATACGATATCCAAAACTAAAAGCATTAACGGATGACTGTGGTCACGCCGTGTGACGCAGCGTCGTTAGAGTGAGTGCACGGATGAAATTAGGACAAACTCAAAAGTAGCTCTGAATTCCGTTTCTGTGTTTCTGTCCCTCAGCGGTGAAGACGGACCAGCTGCAGACTATCAAACGGGAGCTCACTCAGATCAAGCTGAAGATCGACTCTTTGCTGGGACGCCTGGAGAAGATCGAGAAGCAGCAGAGAGCCGAGTCCGGTAAGACGCCGACCGACGGATCAGAGCTAGTCGGAGGGGAAAAGGACACCCACCACTGAGGCAGGGAAATCAAGAGCACACGCCGGCCATAAGTCTTTGTGACACTGTGGGAGATAAGAGCAATAGAGCTCTCCATCATAACAGCCGACAGGTGTCAGCTTCACGCTGACTCTGTTTATATGGGAGGGCTTTGTAGATGACCTGCACCGCGGGACCGTCCGAGAGCAGCTCACTGTGAAGGTCACTTAGACTTCATGTTGTGCATGTTACAATGTGTCAGCAGGTTGCTCTGGTTTATTCAAACTCTGTCGCTTTTTCTCTTTAACTCCGTGACAGTTATACACCAAATGCATCGCACACATGTCTTGGTCGTCTTCCAGGCAAACTGTTGTGTGATTAACTAGAAACTAGAACAAACCAATCCAAGGTTTTCTGGTTGGAAGGAGATTGTTTGTTTGTATCGAACAACTAGCAGCGAGAGGCGTGCGTATTTAAAATATCAGCTGATCCTTTTAGCAATTATTCTCACGGTAATTTACCCTAAAAATGTTTTAATTGTAAACACTGGTCTTTACATTTCGGTACCGAAAAGTATTGAATGTGCCGTAAACAGGAGAGGAAAAGATTGAATGTGTTTTAGAGCCATGTTTAGCTTATAGTGCTAACTTCTGGCCAAACTGCGCTGCGGCCGAGTCTATTCGCCTAATTTGCGTTTCTTTTTGCGACATTTTAAAAGTTCGCTTTAAATTCACTTGACAAACAAATGAAAACACGGCTATAAGCCAACTTTTGAGGCTCCTGCGTATAAAGTAAGTGGGAAGATTGAAATGTGCACGTGGCAGCTCAAAATGGCACAAATTCACACAGAGAACCAGATGTGCAAAAATGTTTCAATTTCAAAAGAATTCAGGAAAGAAGAATAATGTGTAATAAACGTTGAGAACATGAGTTTCTGCTGAGCTCTGAACACACGGACACACTACTAAAGACACGCTTGGTGTGTCAGTTGCTAGCTAGCTCTCAGCTAACATACAGTTGGTGCATTGGCTGTTTGGAGCAAATTAATATGAACCGTTGATATGATTCGATTCAGCAGCAGCAACTACAGTTTTTAGTTTGCCTCCACGTCTCCTCGCTTCTCCGGAGCAGTCACAAGCCATGCATCATTCACGGAAATCTTTTTTCTGCAGCCGTGACGTATACAGCTGATGCAGCTGTGCCCCACGTCATATTTAATTGACGTTACTTTAAAAATGACTGCTCCGAGGCAAGGTTGTCTTTTTCAGCTCTCTCCTTGTGTCTCGTCCTCGCCTCCTTCTCCCGTGGGCGGGACTAAGACATGAGGAAAGAAATCAAAGACGTACAAAGTGGGAAAATGGGAAAGGCCCTCTGTCGACACTTTATTCAATCATATACTTATTTGGATTAAAAAATAGATGCTTTGGCTTACAGTTATGCTTGTCTGTTCTGTAGAAGAACTACAATGAGTTAGTTGTTGACTCGTTGAGATTAAACCACGTCTGTCCAGCTGAACGTATGGAGCAGCACTGCCTCTACGGATCGGTAGTGGGGAGAACACTTTGCTTTGTTTCTGCACAGATTTTGAAAAACAGAAAGAAAGAGCAGCCAACCAAACTTTTCTACCTCTGTGTGAAGCAAAGAAAACCAATTCTCTGTGCCCTTCTTCACTCAGAAGCTCAGAGAAAGTACGAGGACAACTGCAACTCCTTGCATGAGGAGTCCGTGTCAGAGACGGCGGAAAACTCTGGGGAGGACGCGGGCGACGGGGCGCTGGACGTGGAGGCGGGAGAGATGACCGACGGGGGCGAGGACGACTACGACGAGGAGGGAAACCACCATCTGGTAAGAGAAACCGGCCTCACAGGCCTGACAGGGAGGGAGAGAGCAATGCACTTTGGGAGATCTCAAGTGGGCAGACAGTCTTCCCCTCTGAAAGTTAATTTTCGAGAATTATTCATGGCCACAGATCTGAGAGAGCGGGGAGCTTCACATGAGTGAATGGTGAGAGCGCCCGGACTGACAGTTCCTCCCTGTCGACCCGGGCTCAAACCCCCCCCCACCACCACCACCACCACACACACACACACACACACACACACACACGTACGTACAGGCTATAATTAAAGCAGAGGGCTCAAGATACTAAGACGAGCGTTTAAGACCAGACCTGCTGTGAATAGAAGTAGAACAGTATGTAAAGGTTTCCCTGAGAAGGTACAGCCCGTATCATAGAGAATGATCTAACCTACAAAATATCATTAAACAAAAAGAGCCGTCTGCAAAATAGTACGATGGAACCAGCAGAAGTGACAGTCGAACACTGTAATCTATTATCATTAATCTGATCTAATATTTGTTCGTAGACTAATTCTTGCCACCATGCTCGGTGTGACGACACTAAAATCATTCATAATGTTCTGGATTGTTTTTTGCCCAATATTTGTGGCTTTAAAAAAAAAAAACTGTAGACTTTTGGGTCGTCACCTTTAAAAAAAAAAAAAAAGTTACAATTTATTTTGACATGATTTGATATTTCATCTAAGTCTGCAATTAACTTTGATAATCCCAAAAACATTGAATATGAATGTCACTGAAGCATCTAAACCAAAAGAGCTAATTATTGTCGTCTTTACACTGTTGTGTTCAGATGTCTGCCCTTTCAGCTTTATTAAATAATGTTTTAGCTTCATAGAAAGGTATCTGCATGTTGAAGGCTCCGTATTATACAGCAGTTAAAACATCATTTCTCATGTTTTTTTCTAAAGTAAACCTTGTGGCCGCTCGGTTTCATTTTTCACACCGCACAGCTTCTCGAGTTCAAGCGCCGAGATCAAAGTAATCGTCCTTGGTCTCATCTGGGTTCCGTTGTGCTGTGTGGCCATGCTTTAGAACAAGATTTCTCTATTACGCCGTCTGTTAAAACAGGCGAGCATGGCCGTGCCGTTCCTCGATGAAAGCTCGGTGCCCCTCTGCTAATGGAACACATTATTTTCCGGAGACGTGGCGGAGGTGATTTATTTGTTTCCGGAAAGGTCACATTGATCACAGATCGTGATAACGCACCACAAAGACGGTCGGCGCGGCTGCTCCTGTTGAGTGTTCATCAGCGCTGACCTTTGGAAAAGATTAAATACAACCTGTGTGCTCAGTTTTAAAAACGCTGAATCCTACCCATGATTTCAACCCTCTCTCGCTCTCTCTCCTTTCCAGATAGAGAACCATGTATCGGATATCGACAACTGAGATCAGGTAAGGATGAATCCATTCCAGCATGTGTGAGCTTATTGCTGAAGGTCCTGGAGGCTCTTGCAGCTAGTCTCCATTTAAAGCCTTACATCCAGTCCTCATTAAACGCCTTATCCGCCCAACTGTGTCTTGAGCATCTCTAAACATTCGTTAGTCATCTCCTAAATCACAAGCTCTATGACATTTAGAGGCCCAGCTCCACTGAAGGGCGTCTAATGCCGAATCCAACAGAAGGAGCGATGATGGCATTCCAATGGGCCAGAACTGCCCATAAACAATATTCCTCTAATTGAATTGTGTGGAAGGGGGCATGAATGTGGAGGCCTAAGGTAAAGAGTTTGCTGCCAGAGAGCGGGGGTAATGATGCGGTCACATCCTCGGTCGGCCTCTGTGCTCAGCTGTGTTTACGAGTCGCACGCTGTTGATGTTAACGTTGAGTTAAGATGTCTTCTTTTGCTTCCGGGCGAGCAAAGGAAAATCCAGAAAGTGAGGTTCAGATCGATCAGTGCTAGGCTATGCTAACGTTGTAGCGGCTCCCTCAACACTCAAAACAACGTCATCTAGGCAAAAAATACGACAGCGACATTATTGTTTGTGACATAGACGGTCTATGGTTTATACTCATAGTTTACAGATATCACGTGCTGTCGTGGAGCTCTGAGTGACCACAGAAGGCTGCACTTTGGTGTGAACACAACATGAAAGCTTTGATTTTATTTGAACAAGATGAATCGACGTCTCGTCTCTGACAGAAAGCCAATAAGTGTATTCCCCAAAAATGTCGAACTTGTTCCTTCAAGATGAAATGCTATAATACTGCAGTGAACAAAAAGAAGATTTAGATGGTTGACGGTACGTATCAATAACCTGTAAAAGTATTGTTAACATTACATCCACAGCCCATGTAAGCTTATCTTTTTCTAAAAGTGTGCACGCTGCCTTGGATCTTTTCATGTCCATGCTGTTGAGTTGCCGCTTCTTTTTCATTTCTACTTGGATTATGGATGAATGTATTCCATAAATCTTTCTTCTTGCCTTCAAAGAACTGTCAGCTGCTCTAAAGTTAGTTTTTTTTGTGTGTATATAAGCAAAAATATCCACAGTTTCCTTTTTCCCCTCATCTGCCTGTCCAAACGTTTGGTGTCCCAGTTGTATCCACATCTTAAGAAACCACGTTACACTTCAGTTCCCTCTCCACATTTTATCCTCACGGCACATGCATTGAACAACCTGACAATCCCACTCGGAGAATATGTGAATGTTTTGCTCGCGGGCCTGTAAGCGAGGATAGAACATCACAGTGAGAAGAACCTCAATAAGTCGTGTCCAGAAGGATTAGAGAGGCAGCTTCTGGGCGACCAAAAAATATTTCTGCACTCCCCGAGATATTTCTGAGGCCCATTCAAAAACGGACAAGCTTTAAAACTCTGCCTAATCCTCCTCAGATTTACAGCATTATAAATAGCCACCGATGTTTGAGGAGCAGACGGGCCCCTATAATGTGTTTTCTCCTTCATCCCTTCAGGAGGAGGCAGCAGACACCCCCCCGGTCAGTGGTATTAGAATTCATCGTCACCTTCAAGAGACGGAAAAGGATCTCTGAAGGATCAAGACTCTCATTCAGGACTGTAAATTGTGTTCAAGAGATGCTGAATCGCATTTAGACGCCCAACTGTGCAGCACAAAAAACGACCGTGATGTGCTCGCTAGAGAAAAATGTATTCAAGACCCATTTTAATGCATCGGCCTCGTGGGTATTCTGTGCAACTTATATTTCATTGCAAGAGGCCGACAGTATCGTGTGCTAATCCTGTTTGTGAAATAAATAAAACAGAAGGGAATGAAATAAAGGCATTTCTTCTGATTTATAAATGAAATTACGTGGGAAGAGGGGAACATGACATTGATCCACCGTTGCTGCTTTGATGAAATGTGTTTGCAGTGTAATTTATCAAACTGATTTTTTCCTATGAATTTTATGTTCAAAAATCAAAATGAATAAAGGAACAGTCGGAACAATCTGCGACCGCAGAATGATTCACAAACAAACGAACGGTGGTTTTCGGATTTGACTCATGCATAAGCCAATATCTGCGAGCATAACTTTATCCGTTTGTCACACAAATGCCCCGTGGGGCTGTTCCATCATATATTCCAACTCCTGCCAAGCTGCAGAAGCAGAAAGGGCTTCCTGTGGTCCAGAGCCAACACTGGCACAGGCCTCCTGCCGGGGACCAGGGCCCCGACGTCTCAATGCGCTCCTCCCCGCTCAGCCTGTGCATCCCGACACGGGCTGCTGCTGCTCGGGAGCCAACGCCCTTTCTCCTTCCACTGCTCCCTCCCTCTGCATCGATTCCGTCTCATGTAGGCAAGAGTGAGCCAAGGTTTTTAGAGTCGATTTTATCGATGTGATGTATGTGATCTGTGATTCAGATCGCTTACGAATTAATATGGAATAATTGAACATGACACAATGGCTTGTGCAGCCTTAAAACAACCAGAAATAAAAACTCTTTTAATAGAATGCCCTTAAATGTAAATAACAAAGTAAAGTACAGACTGGGGAAAGATCTGAACTGGCCAGAGTTGGATGATTCGTCCACTCATTTTGGTGCATTTTACTAACATCATGATGTGCATGATTTCTACTGGTTCATATGTTACATTGTGCAAACATGTCATGCAGCTTCAGCTGAGCGATTTCAATTAACCCGACTATAAATATATGGCTGCAAAGGGAATCGCGTCACCAATCCCCCCCCCCCCCAATATGTAAAATTTAATAAGTAAATTTCCTCCAAACAATGACAGAGGCCTGTTTGTAGTCTCAAGCTTTTTCTTCATAGGAAGCCTCAGAAGGAGGCAGGTGGTTGGATCCACAGCTAACGTGGGGCCAGGTGTGCCAGCTGATGGTCAGCAGCAACAATTAAGGTGATGATGCGTATCAGCTGGCACACCTGGTATGTATTAGCTGGAGATGAGGTTGTCAGCATAAACGGCTGGTGGGCCAACGACATTCATCACAGCTGTCAATGAAGCGGCTTCTTATCAAACACTCTGCTGTCATTAACCGCTGGCTTTGTCCTTGCACCCACTGCAGCCCGATATTGTCTCTCCTCCTCCTCTGCTGCTGCTTGTAAAACTGAAATGTTTTCTTCTTCTTTTGCTTTTAATTTGTGCTCGGAAGCATCGACGCGTGTTTTTAAGGACGGAAAGCAGACGGGCCTCTTGTCATTGGACGAAATACTTACCGATTATCGGTCGAAGTCCTGAATTGGTGTTAAAGTTGAATCATGTCATTCGGGGCTGTTGTTACTTTCAGGAGTCGTTTCACCCAAAATGCAAAGAAATAAAAAGAAAGGCTATTGGTGTCTAGTTGAAGAATTTTATTTGTACATGTTTTGAGGCCATGGAGACTCTGGTGTAATTACGGTGAAATAGATTTCGTTTGTGGTGCTTGAAGCATTAAAAAAGGCATTTGAAGAATTCAACCACAATGTTTCTTTTCGGACACAATTCAGTCCAGTCAGAAAAAATGTTGGCATTGGACACGAGTGTAAAGAAGGGATACCGTGAATGTGGACTTTTTGCATCCAGGCAGATCAAGTGTTGGTGGAAGTTTCGTGGTATAATAAGGAGTATTAAGAGCGAGAAAGTCCACAAAAGGCGGGTCGGAGTGGTGGAAACAAACAGGACTTTCATGAGTTTGTTACGTAAGAAACTCCGCTAAGGTCGGTTGTTATTGATTTACACTGTTGAGTTATTGTTTAAAGATGATGCTTATTCTAAACTTGAGTAGTTCTGTTGCCTAAATCATTCCAATCATTTAACAGCTTGTCCTCGGTGCTTTTCTGTAAGCGTGATAGCGGCTGATATGAAACTTTTGATTCAGAAATGTCGACATCCGTGGTTTGATGAAACGTGCGATGCCAACATTTTGGTTATTGGGTTTCTTAATTACTCTGGGAGATGCTCACATGCTCTGTAGATGTTTGGATAGAAAAATGGATCCCATCCAAAATGTGGATTAATAGCCTGAATAATGTTTTGTTTATATGTAATTGTTCAACGTTTCGAAGAAAATTAACAGAAGTCTCTTCACCCTTATTAGCACAAAACCTGGGCAAATGAAACCAAACCACCGCGGGTAAATAAGGAAATATTGTTTTGTGATTTGGTTGGAATGACCCTTTAAACCGAGAATTAATTGAATGTGAAGGAAAGGTCGCCTCAACTTCATGAACACAACAATCTGCCTGAAAAAAATAGAATTGAATAAAAAGTCTGTCCAGCAGCTCCTTCAAAATAAGTGTCTGGTGAATGATGATGATGTGTAATATTTAGCACTATTTTTGTATACAAAAACATGTTTAAGGGAAATGGCTCTGCTACACGTTTATCTTTTTTGCTGGTAGCCTGTTCTTTAATAAGCAGTATGGTGATGTGTCAAATATTTTGCAAAAAGTACAACAAAAAAAACCCTTATTGCTTTTAACTGTTGTAATTTATCTGGGTCACTTTAAAACATTTCTGGCTCGACATTCACTTTTATTTTGCCCTGTAAATAATCATCCTCATGTTTATTTCAAACACTAATCGACTGAAAGAGACGTTTAAAACAAAGCGGAAAAAAGGTATACTGACAGTTTGTTGGGGTCGTTGCAGGTTTTAACCACAATTGTAGTGTAACTGACAACTGTTGTATAGAAATGTACATTTTTTTGTAAAGATATTTTTATCAAAAGGCATGTTTACTGTAACTTTGTATTTTCAGTTCATGTATTAAAAAAAAAAGGTATATTCCAACTGTTGTAAGGCTAGAAAACTCATCGTAGATAAATATTTGTGTTCTTATCAGTCAATAAAATGTTTGTGTCATATATGTTTAACTAGTCAAATGTTTCAATGATCAACACTTTATTTTACAAATAAATATGAACTGAAGGACAAAGAAACCTTTTGGCTTCATTGTACATAAAAAGCAGACGTGATAGTTGCTCGCAGAATGTTGACAGACGTGTATGTAAATGTTTGGTGCATCATTAAGGCGTGCCTCTTAAAAAATCCATTCTCTCCTACCGTGCATCTACTGTCAACACACACTGCTGATTTAATTATGATTTATGTAGTTTAGCATGCAGGGCGCTTGCCATCAAGATGACACGTTAACAAGTTACACGGCAGAGTGTTTGAAAGCACGTCAAATTAACGTCAGTCAGCGGGGAAGTGGACACCATAACGGCAGCTTGTCATCTGGGTTTTTTTTTCCACTAATGGCAGCAGTCTCACTGGCTGCCACTTGATATCAGTGTGTATTTTTAACTGAGTCTTGTTCTAATACGATGTGACCGCAGCAGATGTCCAGCTGTGGCAGGTCATTCTACACCTGACTGACTGTGGATTATAGGAATACATCAACCCAATCAAATCAATCAGTGTCTATCAACTTGCACTGAAATGTAGCTTCTTACTGCTAGTGATGGGATCCCACATGAACCAGACTGTTCTCGTACACTGTTCTCGGCTATACCCATGAAAAGCAATTTGTGTATAACTCACAAAATCATGTTGTATGTCATAAACACAATTGTTAAGCAGGAAGAATAAAGATCGACAAACTCCATGTGGGGAGGAGGTTGGGGTTGATCCAAAAACACCGGACTATCACCCAGGAGACCGTCGTTTGCGTCCCGTGTGAAACCAGAAATCAATGTTGATTTATTTGTCACGTAACTTCCATGTAAAATATCCTTCCGTCATTATTCAAACCCAAAATATGATCTTTTCCAAAATCACACCAAGTACTTTGTTGCCTAATCTCAAAACTATTCTACAAAGAATTTATATTTTGTGTTGCTTTTGGCGGTCCCTATGGACAAAAGCGGTAGTGTTTCGTAAATAAATAATCTAAATGGTTTTTCGTGGTGTAAATATGTAAATGACGAAGATATATGAAACCAGAAATTGATCGTTCCTTGACATACAGGCCTCATGAAAGTGTTTTTGACAGTTTAACCAAAATAAAGAGACTTTGTATTTATCGTGCACAGAAATACAGTTTTTGTTTGCCGCCTTTTTAAAAGAAGATCAGAGTCCAGGATCACCTCCATCACACAAGTGTTGGAGAATCACTGCCACGCTTTAGGACACTTCTGTAGGACATACGGGACTTGTCCTCTGGTGGAGCAGCCGTCTCCAAACTCATTACACTTGCCCTCGGTCCGATTAACGAACAGTCCAGTTCCTGTGCTTCTCTTGGGAACACACAACGTGATCTAGAGGCTGATTGTGACCCTGATTCGGCCTTTTCTTTAAAGACCGCGGCGAGTGTGCACTTGACTGTGCAGAAGTCAGCAGAGCAGCGTGGACAATCGGCCGACATGCATGCGACAGCTGGGACCAACATTGTTCTGGTGAATAGCAACGTCCACTGAAGTCTCTGCTGTGCGAGTCGGTCTGATGTGTGACGCACAGCATTTTCACAGTTGGGTGGATGTTTTTAGTCGACGTGGACTCTTCTGTTTTGATTGTGTCTCCTCCTGAAAATCAGTTCTTCACCATTTTAGACAACGCCTTCATTTCATAAAAGAAATAGATTTATGCTGGATTTTTTTCAAAACATCAGGTGCTTTGCAAAGGATCAAAACCAGAATAAAATCCTAAAATCAACAGCTGCTGCAATAAAAACAAGAACCATTAAGAGACAGGAAGCCAAAAGCAACAATAAAGCTCCTGACATTAAAGCGAATCCTTTCATAAATGAGGGTTTATAGTGACTTTAAAGAACCCGTCTGAGCTCTGCAGGGTTTTGTGTGTGTTCATTATAGAGACTACAGCATTAACGTCCTTGAAAGGTTTCAGTATGTCACTTCCACTCTGTTATAGCGAGTCTGTAAAGGTAGCTGGGCGGCAACAGATGGCAGCTTTAAAGCCACGGTAAAAGGTAACGCAGTAAGGTTAATGGGGGCCAACTACAATGCCACACACAATTAGCCCGCGGTATCAAGTCCGCAGCACCGGTGGCTGGCATGATTGCACACAGCTGTTTCCGTTTGACCCACATATGAGAACACGTTTCACCCCTTTTGCTTAATGCACTGCAGTTTATTCATATATACAGAACTGAGTGAAGCTGCTGAAGTGAAGATATTCAGCCGTGATGGTGAGCCCGAGGATGAAAGTGACTACACGGTTTTACTTCACACTGGAGCCGTTAAGCCTCTGTGATATTGAATTTTTTAACTTTCACAGCTGTGGAAATAAAAAAATGTATTAAAATGATTGCTGCTGCTGCTGCTGGCCAGTCGGTCATATCAGTAAATGTGAACATATAACCATCAGCTCGCATGTGTTTATAGCAGCTGACAGATTCAATCCACTCATTTTTGCTTGTTTCTCTCCATTTGGGAAATAATCAATTAGTCAGTTAGCGCTCACATATAGATTTTGCATCTTTGAATCCTCATATGGATTACTGTGGTGGAAAATAAACATCATTTGGAGCAGAAGCAGCATTTGGGTAATAACTCGCGCTCCATCTTAACCATGTATTATAAGTTGTATCTCTATGTGTGTATCCTCAGTTAAAACACGTACAGTATTAAACCCTTATACTCTATTACATTTCACAAGTTGGAGAGCATTTGCTTTATTGGAAATATTCAAATCCGCAGCTCGCTGCACAAATCATAATTAACATTTTTATTATTTTAGCTCAGGGGCGCTAAGATGAGCATATTTTCCACCTCTGATTTGAAAAATATTTAAATGAATCTACACGTGTTGCCAATAACCCGAGTGTCAAGTTGCAAAAATAGGAATGAAGAGTCTCGATTCTCATCTCTGCAGAGGCTTTAATGGAATCAGCAGAGAAGTTATGGGTGCAGTGAAGGATGAGGTGTTGCAAAGTCATTACATTCGCTCAGAGGCCACAAGGCTAATGTTAGCCTTTAGCTCGTCATGGTGGACAATATCAGCCTTTTTTAGATGGTGTGAAATATGCAGTCGGATTATTAATTTTACGTGGTGATTACACACTCAGATGGTCATAAGTATTCTGCTCACATAACCTAGACAGATATGCACATGCAGGATGTACATGCAGCTCCTTGGTGAGAGCATTTCAATGCCACAGTGCAGCTTCCCAAATATTATCAATTGGTAACATTGCCAGTATGCCTATTGGATGATAATACATTGATTCAGGAGCAGGGGATGAACAATCCCTCCTCCCGTCCCCCAGCTGCGAATGTCATCAGGTTCTTTAGATGACATCCATCACGAAGTAATTTAAGATTGAAAACAAGTCGCGGTGACGTTGAATAGGAAGGTGGAACGGAGAGCAGCATGATTGTAAAGGTTAATCCTGTTAAATCTAAACCTGAAATAGACAGCTTGACTGCGTGCGGGGTTCGGATTTGCCGTTTCAGCAGAAATTAAATGTCACAAGACTTGAAAAGCTGGAAGTTTGGAGAAAATAGAATATAATTACACATATAGAATACAAACTTTAATCAGTTTTCAAATTCAAACTAAAAGGAAACATCACATTGAATCAATTTCTGAGAGCAAATGGAAAAGAAAACATTCAGCAAATTGGTGTTTACTGCAGGGCTACTGTCTTTTCTAGATATTTCTGCTTTGCCTGTATTTTCTGCAATTGTTTTTGTGGGGAACTGCAAAGTCGTGCAATAATTCTCATCACCAGCGACAGCTTTCACATTACATCTACTCATTGTTGGTGCAAAGAAATACAATAATATAGAATATGTTACTGTGTTTGCAGTACTAGTAGTGGAATTCTTAGTCAAATATAAAAGGAAAGTAAAAACTACAGAAGCCAGGACAACTGTAAAGAGGATGAAACACATCTCCTCATGCAACGGAAGGTCTGACTACTGGAAACGAGAAGGGAGTAATCCTCATCACCTCTGCAGCTGTGTGGGCCGAGTTATCCCTCCAGTTCTGCTCTGAATCAACAAAACTGTTTCGTCCAAAAGTAAAGTCACCGTACGGATACGAGAGAGGCGACACATTTATCTCCGTTTTCCAGAGCAACACATTGGGAATACCTGACTTGAGAGAGGGTGAGACAGGCGGGCAGACAGGGAGAGATAAAGGGAGAGGATACATTTTGAGTGATCTCTTTTGAAGCGGCATGTTCTGTTTTTTTTTTTGCTACATGCCTTCAAGGTGTCACTTCATAATTGAATCCCCTCTCCTTTGTGATGCTGCAGCCTGAGGATGGCGATGCGAACACCTCCAGGGCCCGCAGGCCACGGTCCCCCCACCCCCTCCACCCCCTCCCTCCCCACTGATAACACTGCGAGAGGTATCGCCCCCTGATAACTCTCCATGGAGACAGACTCCTAATGGAAAAATAGTTATTATGCATCTCAATGGGGAAATGATAGCATAGTACAGAGAATTGTCACATTATAATTATGAGCGGTGAATGGGTAGAAAAGGAACCCTTCAGGCTTCGTGACTGAATCCGCTCCTGCTCCAATTACGCTGCGGAGAGGCCGCCGTCCATTCATGCGCAGCCACAAACTACTGTCATTTTGGTCCCAACTGTCATAATTATCACTCGCATTGTGTCAAAACTTTAACCCTGTGCTGCACAGATTATGATTTTTCATCAAATAAAACTATTTCATGCGGGGTTTTTTGATGATAGTTTCTGAACATTTATATTGTGAAATACTTGATTCATTCATTGGCAGTGAGGTTAAAGTGGCTTATTGGCATCCACCTGTACAGCACACAGATTTGACTGCTCTACAATAACGTCAAGGATATCTTTTTACAAGAACCTCTTGAAGAAATGGAGCGGGGACATGATCAGACGTCAGGTTGTAGAAGTGAAGGTGTTATCACTCCAGGAGTATTTTTATGCATCTCACACCTGATTCTGATATCTTCCCTCGAAGGTTGCTTCCCTCAAACTCCCTGT